TCCACATATATCACTATGTATGAATTCTAACATCTCAATGGCTCTCTCTCCAATTCCACAAAAAGGAGAGTTAGTCAGTTTTCCACAAAGGCAAGACTCGCAAGTTACATATGATTCATGGTCGAATGGATCTAGATATTCATCCTTTAGTAACTTTTGAATCATTCCTTCATGGATATGACCTAGCCTACAATATCACAAGTATGCACTGTTCACCTCATCTCGTTTCCTTTTGGACACACTTACATTCATAATATGTGGAGCAGTGTCTAGCATAAACAAATCATTATGCAATGTTCCTCTCATAATGATCTCATCATCTAATAATATTGAACAATCATTGTTCTCAAAAACTAATTTATATCTACTAATGTCAAACATGAAATGGAAATAATGTTTCTGATAATAGAAGAAACAAAATAGCATGTATCCAAGCTTGATAGTGCCTTCCTTATCTTTCTGGTCTCACTAGTATAAAGAACCAACTTCTCTTTCTTGTTAGTGCTCTCTGCCTCCCTCAACATATTGAGGAGCTCAGGAAGAGTCACCTCAAGCTTGTTAATATTAAAATTCATTATGAACTGTGAAAAAAAATCTGGTAGGGACTGAAGCACAAGATTCACACACAGGTTATCCTCTAGGACTATTCCATTCCTAGACCTGTGAATTTGTCTATCCACTCAATCATCTTTAGGACATGGTTCTGTACTGATGTCCCCTCAGTCATCCTAGCGTGAAAGAGGCTCTTAGATATCTTATATCACTGAGTCCTTCCCTATTCCTTAAGCAGTTTGCGGACTTGTATGAGAATAAATCTAACATCCATCTTTTCATGTTGTCTCTGTAACTCAGGAGTCATGGAGCTCAACATGTAACACTGAACAAGAGTGGAGTTATCTATGTACTTTACGTAGCGAACTATCTCATCCTCGCTTGCTCCTTCCTCGGGAGTAGGCATCATTGTATCAAGGACGTACGCGATTTTCTCCACCGTGAGAATAATTCTCAAGATGCGGAGTCAATCCGTATAATTTGGACCAATGAGGCTGTTGACATCAAGTATGCGACATAAGGGACTTGAAAGCGACATTTTCTGAAAATAAATATATGACAGAAATAAATAACATGTAGATTTTGTAAAAAAATAAACAATCAAGATATGGACTTTTATCTTAATATGCTCTCACTATTTTCTCGTGAAACACATAACTCCCTCTGGTATATGAATCGGAGACCCCCGACGGATCTCTAGTAGGGATCAGGATCCAATCGGCGTTTTAAAGTAATCTTAAGGGACTCGACCAATCATGCTAAGCCCGTAAAGGTAGGCAACTCTTGCCGATTACAACTCCTTGTGATTCCTGTCATGTTCAACCTTCGAACCACCATGATCTCGAAGGACTCGACCAACCATGATGTTCGATTAAGTCAACATTATCGTTACAAGATGAGTATGATTCGATGATATAGCCTCGAGGGGCTCAACCAAGCATATCTTATCCTCAGGTCACCAGTGACATCTCTATATTGTAGGCAAGATAGCGAATCGCGATATATGTGAGCCTTGAGGGACTCGACCAACTCAACCTACATCGAGAATCGGTCCCTACCTATAATGATGGAAGGCCACGTGGGTCAATCAAATTGTCTCACGTTTACCGACTTAATATTAATATTATCGAGAAAGGATTTTGATTTGGTCTCCTAATATGACTTGTCACACACATACATATTTAATATATATCTACTTCGTATGCAAATATATATACATATCTAGTAGGTGTATAAACAATCACACATCACATGAGCAATCACACCAGATGATCATAGACCCCAGCCTAATGTGATCAGGCCCGAGCCAGTGGACCTAATCACTCACATCAAAATCTATATGTAGCGGTGCATCTCCATGCCCTATGATCATCCATTTCGTCCTCGTCGGTTCCGTCGACATCTCGACGCATCTCCATGCGTCGCGATCGTCCGTCTCGGCCTCGTAGGTCTCGCTATCGCTTCCATTCTCTCGCTGCGCCTCCTCGTGTGATTACAACTTAATTATAGGCACGTAGGCCCAACAATAAACAAGAATAAAATTAGAGGCTCGCGGGCCCCAATAATAATAATAATCACATGTACACACACCACACAGTCTATGATCATCCGTCCACATCATACATCATATGTAAATATCATTATGTAAGCGACCAAGAAGCCTCTGGCCTATGGGTGTTTGGTTCCCTCCTATTTATAGAGGCCCCCTGTCAACTTAACCCTAATGGATCCTGCCCTATTGGGTATTGGATCTTCATCCAACTACACAAGCCTCTTAGATTAGTGGATCTCTATCCAATAATCTCTCATTGGCTCTTATTAGATCACATCCATAGGATCTAATAATTCAGGGGCTTATTGTATATCCAATAAGATAGGAGCTCCGACAGATATCTCATATCCAAACCTCTACTCGTCGCAATGCATATCATATGTGTGTGACCCTATAGGCCTAATATCGAGCTGGTCATGAGTCTTACCTATCAGAACTCCTTATGGCTTAGTGAATTATTATCTTCATAATAATTCACTCGACTCATCGACTGCAGACGTACTAGGCCACTACGCCATAGCCCCAGATGATACAGGAGAATCCAATCCATTGGACATGTCTGTCCTTAGTTACTGTGTATTTATAGTCCCTCATCCATCTAATATCCCAAAGATCATATACCGGGCATAGTACTATCAGACCCTTACGGTTTCTAGTCGAGTCCCGCTCTAATCGAATTCTCCCAGAGAACTCTTTCTCTCTCAATCCGAATGACCCTGGCCAGGGATTTATCTGAGCAAGAACACATGGGATATTCCTCTCATAACACCGAGAGTATATAATCCTCTATCGACACTCAATAGTCCTCGTAAGGTTGGTTGCCACTCCCGATGACCCGCTGTGCTAGATCTGGAACATTCAAGCCATCCTTAGTGTCTCAACTCTAAGGACCAGGTACACCACTGGGACAACGAAATCGCTGTCTGACAATGAGGTATCATTAACCATTTAGCATTCCGTGAGCGGATCAATCGGTGAACTCATTCTTCAATGAGCACCTACACTGTAGCCCTAGTGTCTCCACACAAGCAGCTATAAGATCGGTTGTCTCCATCATATGGACGGGCATACAGCACACCAGTCTGTCCAATTATCTCAATGTCCCTCTCGAGTAACCTATGATCAGGATTATTTAGGGTTTGTGTTTAAAGCTGAATCGGTCTCATTATCATGATCTCATCACGATCCGATTCCTATTGCACAGATCTACGGACATCACAATATATATATGCATATATGCAACAAGCAATATAAAGTGATAAAATGTCAAAATATAATAAGCAAAAAGAATGTGTATTATGTCACACATGTCATAACTTACGTGATTGACTTGTAGGGCACCTATGACTAGCATCGGCGACGTCGCTTCCTATTCTTCTCCTCATATGTAGCGTTCGACGAAGACATCGAAGGCGGCAAACGTCTCTGAAGAACGCGGTAATGGCCGCAGGCGTCTCCGACCTTCGGCGAAGAACGCGACGAAGAAGTCAAGCCATCACCTCTCCGTTACCCCCTAGATCGAGATCTTCGAGGGAGGGCAATGTCGGATCGGGAAGCGTCGAGGTTCTCCCGATTCTCCCTCTTCTTCGAGCGTCTTCTCCCTCTTCTCTCTCGACGCTTCTTCTTCCCTCGCTGTAACCAAGCTGATATCGCCCGATAACAGGCGACGATGGTCGAAAACGACCATTACTGACCTGTGGGCGTACTAGTATGTACCACCCGGTGTGGGCGGTATCATTCGAAATTAAAATCCTTGGTTGAAATCGTACACGTGGATGTGTATCCAACCTATTATGTAGATGTAGATACAAATCCATATAATAAAACAACAGGAAAAAAAAATAAAAAGAATTGATTTGTTATTCAATAGTGATACATACACCAAAGTAGCCCATCTTATATGCTTGTTAGCCGAAACATACTAAAATGTTAATTTTGAATACATGTTGCATTAAATTTAGCTTCAGAAGTGCTTTATATGTGCTGCCACAAACCAGATAACTAATATTGCTTGATATCCTATATAGCAGTGATACATATTCCATCCTAAAAGACAAGATAAAAAAATTCATAAAATCAAATTAGTTCTAAAAAAATATCACGGTCATGTTTAACACGAGCTGTGATATCCATAAGAGAACCATAATGTAATGATCTTAACTGATTCCAATTGATGGATAGGAATCAGGTTGTTTAGGTTGATCCAGATTGTATGGCTCCAACAAAAAGAAACATATGTGACTTTCAATTATTTTACAGTATGGCAAAAGCTTTCACTTCTGCTCAAGCTCCAGTATGACACTATTTTCAGAAAGATAGCTATTGAGTGTCTTGTAAACAGATCAAGCATATTACAAGGGCAATAAAATGCAAGCAAGCTCCTCATGAACACCATACAACATAAAAGCCCAAAAGTGTTATGCAACTTTTGGATATGCTAGGGAAGATCTGCCATCCAGTGTCTGGACTACAGTATATATCACTAACTTCACACTCTGATCAGCAAATGCAATTAAGGGTAACAAAAGGAAGATAGTGCTTGGAGTAGAATGCAACACAAATCATACATGCTAATCTGATTTCACAAGGTAACTAGAACATAATCATAACATGGAACATTAACGAGTCTCACCCCAATGCTTCGAATGACCCATAAGCAGACAGCCATTAGTAACCCAACTCCACTTTTGTTGAATGCTAGTGATTCCTCAAAAACAATGCCTGCATAACCAATTGCAAATACCAACACCAGAGCAAGATCCTGCGTCATGTTTGATGAAGTGCATGATGAGCATTAAATACTCCCAAGTTCCAAGACAATAAATTTCAAGCTAAATCCCATCAAATTTCAAGAAAATGGTTCATATCTTGAGACAATTATGAAAATTCAAAACCACCAAAGTACAATGAATTTAATATGTATTGTAATTTGTGCTCGACTTTTAGTAAATTGTGACTCATTTAATTAGGTGGTTGAAGGATCCAATGCACAAGGGATCGATAAAAAGCAAAGGAAGGAAGATTGGTAGGGCATCCTAGTTTTTTTTTCTAAAACCTTATCAAACTTTTGTATTTCGAGCTATTAGCTCCTAGTATCTCTTGAAATAGAGAGAGTTCTCTTTGTCCTCCCATATCTCACTTCTTTTCTCACCCTCTCCTCTCTTCCTTTTTTGTGTCACATCATTTGGTATCAGAGCCTTGCTACGCTCTTGGAGTACTTTCTTATTATGGCAACTAGAAGGGGCAAAGGGCAACGCGGTGAAAGAATAATGCAGCCAGATAGAGATGAAAGGGATGAAAAAATTGAAGCACTAAGGAGACAAATTGAAGAGCTTACCATGAACCTCGAATGTCAAGAAACCCATGGCTCTAGAGGCTCAAGCTATGGCTATGCAAGTGATGGATTTAAAGACATAAATTCCCTTGCATCCAAAGAAATTGTAGGAGACTCATCCATGGAGAGGTATTTTCATGCAAATGGCAACATCAAGAGTGACTTGTTGGAGTTCCATGGTCGACTTCAACCTGAAGAGTTTCTTGATTGGCTTAGTGTCGTTGAGAAACTCTTTGAGTACACGGAGATAACCCGAAGACCGAAAAGTAAAATTAATTACTACAAGGCTTCGAAATTATGCTTCAATCTAGTGGGACAAGTCCAAGAGATGCATTTTCGGAAAGGGAAGATGAAGATTTCATCTTGGGAGAAGATGAAATCTCGACTCCATGAGAATTTTCTTCTATTTGATTATATTCAAACTCTCTTTTCACAATTTAATAATCTTCAACAGGATAGCAAAACCATCATCGACTACACTAAAGAATTCTATAAGTTGATGGTCTAAAATAACACTCAAGTGACGAAAGAATAACTTATTGCAAGATATGTCGACGGCCTACGAGTTATGATTCAAGATGAAGTGAAGATGCAACGACTATGGAGGTTATATGATGCTTATCAATTAGTGTTAAAAGCTAAAGCAAAACTTGCTAGAAGTGGAGGAAATAAGTATTCTAATGTTCCTTTACATTTCTCTTCTAAAGCTGACTCTGGTCATTAAAATGCTAGTGGATCACAAGCCAGCGGAATCATGAAAAATGCATCCAAACTAACTCCTACCAATCGTGTAGGACAATCTTGTTGCACCAGTCACCTTCCTACTTGCTTTAAATGTAAACAAGTATGACACTATATAAACGATTACCCAAATAGATAAGCTGATGCACAAGTCAACTTTGCCGAAGAAAAAGATGCCAATGAACAACTTGAAGATATTGGAAAACCAATATATGGTGAATACCCCCGAGGAGGCTTTTGAAGAAGCGAATGCTTGGCAATCCATAAAGCGCTTGCTACTCTAAAAGATGATTCTTATGAAGAATGGTTACAAAATAAAATTTTTAAGACACTACAAGTCTCAAGGTAAAGTTTGTTCAATTGTTATTAATAATGGTAGTTTGTTCAATTGTGTCTCAAGATATGATTGACAAGCTCAAGCTCAAGACAGAACCATATCATAAATCATATCGGATTATATGATTCAAGAAAGGCAATGAGGTACGAGTTTACTAATTGATGCCTAGTTTCTTTTTCGACGGGTAAAAATTATAAAGATGATGTGTGGTGTGATGTAGTACCAATGGATGTTAGCCATATACTCTTGGGGAGACCATAGCAATATGATAAGTGTGTTATTCATGATAGTAGAAAGAACACCTATACTTTTAAATTTAATGGAGTTAGAATTATATTTTTTCCATGCAAAGAAGAGTTTACAAAAGAAGGCGAAGAAAGTGGAGTTGTATTTATGTTAGTTGCTAAAGAATGCATGCAGCCTATAGAAATTCCTCGTGAAGTAGAAGCTATTCTGGAGGAAGTCAAAGACATATGCTCTAAAGAACTTCCTAATTGCCTACCTCCTCTTCGAGACATTCAACATCAAATTGATCTAATTCCAGAAGCAATCTTGCCAAACAAATCTCACTATTAGATGAGTCCAAAAGAACATGAAGAGTTGAAGAGACAAGTACTGGATCGACTGCACAAGGATTATATTAGGGAAAGTTTAAGCATGTGCACCACTCCAACTCTATTGAATCTAAAGAAGGATGAAACTTGACAGATGTGCGTTGACAATCAAGAGATTAATCGGATTACCATCAAGTACAGATTTCCTATTCCATGTGCGAAGGATATGTTTACTGGTGCTCAAATTTTCTCTAAAATTGATCTGCAAAGCAGTTATCACCAAATCCATATTAGACTAGGAGACGAATGTAAAACCGCTTTCAAGACTCAAGAAGGTTTATATGAATGGCTAGTTATGCCATTTGGACTTTCAAATATTTAGAGCACCTTCATGTGGGAAATGAATCAAATTCTATGTCCTTATATTGGGAAGTTTGTTGTTGTTTACTTTGATGATATTCTTATTTATAGCAGCAACAAACTTGATCATATTGAACATTTAAGAACTATCCTATCGAACTTGAAGGTAGAAAAGTTATAAGTAAATCTTAAGAAGTGCTCCTTCATGACCTTTAGCCTAGCTTTTCTAGGCTTTCATTTTAACCCTGTAGGTATCCAAGTGGATTCTGAGAAGACTAAAGCTATCCAGACTTGGCCAACACCCACATCCCTAAGATGTTTAGAGTTTTCATGGGTTGGCATCTGTTTAACGTCGATTTATTTGGAATTTCAGCACTATTGTAGCTCCTCTAACTGATTGCATAAAGAAACGAGTGTTTCAATGACACCTATGGCAAACGACAGTTTTGAACTGCTAAAAGTGAAATTATCTACTGCTCTTGTTCTTGTATTACCACATTTTTCTAAAATATTTGAAGTTGATTGTGATGCCTCTCATGTGGCTGTTGGTGGAGTACTTAGCCAAGAAGAACATCCACTTGCATTCTTTAGTGAAAAGTTTAATAATACAAGAAATAACTATTCAAGCACTACGACATTAGAGACCATTTAATCCAAAGAGAATTTATCTTAAATTCTGATCATGAAGCTCTTAAATATATAAATTCTCAAGCAAATCTTAATAGACGACATGCAAAATGAGTGACATTTTTACAATAGTATACTTTTTGTCTTGAAGCATAAGAATAGAATATGTAATAAGGTTGCATATACACTCAGTCAACGATTGGCACTTAATACTATGTGTGCCAACTAAAAGGATTTGATGCAATAAGAAATACTTACTCTAATGATGAAAATTTTGGAGAAACATGAGAGTTATGCACGAAGAGTCATCATAAAGATTATATTATCAAAGAGGGTTTTCTCTTTCGTGGAACTCAACTTTGTATTCCTAAATGTTCTCTACGAGAGCATATTATCCAAGAATTGCACTCCAGTGGATTAGAAGGTCATTTTGGAAGAGACAAAATAGTACTTCTCGTCAAAGCAAAATACTTTTGGCCTACAATCTACCGAGATGTTGCAAATTATGTGAAAAGATACAGAATATGCCAAATTTCAAAAGGGCATACTCAGATTTTTTATGCATATACTCCTTTACCAATTCCTAATGCCCCCTGGGAAGACATTACTATAGATTTCATAATTGGTCTACCGAAAACTCAAAGAGGTACAGAATCTATCTTTGTTGTTATTAATCGATTTTCCAAAATGGTGCATTTTATTCCTTGCAAAAAGACCATGGATGCTTCTTATATTGCTAACCTTTATTTTAATGAAGTGGTCAAACTTCATGAAATTCCTAAATCTATCACATCAAATAGAGATACTAAATTTCTTAATCATTTTTTAAGAAGTTTATAGAAGAAATTTGGCACCAACCTATTATATAGTAGTGCTTATCATCCGCATACAGATGGACAAATTGAGATTGTTAATAGAACCTCGGGTAATCTGCTACGATGCTTTGCTGCAAAAAGACCAAAACAATGGGATCTCATGCTACTTCGTAATGAATTTACTTATAACCCTGTAGTTAATCATTCTACTAGCAAGAGTCCATTTGAGATTGTTTATGGTCATATTTTACCTTATTATCTAGATCTTGCTAAAGTTTTTAAATCACCTTTATCAAGTTCAAAAAGAGAGAATTTTGCTATTACCATAACAAAAGCTTGAAGCTAGTAGTCAAGTTTACAAAGAAAAGGCCAACAAGCATCGTCGTGTGATAATCTTTGAAGAAGGAGATCTTGTTTGGGCCTTTTTTTAAGAACAAATTTTCCAATAGAAACTTGCAATAAACTCAAAGAGAAGAAAATTGATCCTTGCCAAGTTCTCAAGAGAATTAATAATCATGCTTACAAGATTAAACTTCCTCTTTACGTTTGCACTCACTCCATATTTAACATTCTGGATTTATCAGTTTACCATGGCAATAATGATGACAACTCGTGGACGAGTTCTTTCTCACCTGGGGAGAATGATGCAATGCATGGTGAGCATTGAATGCTCCCATGTTCCAAGACAACAAATTTCAAGCTCGAACTTATCAAATTTTAAGAAAATGATTCGTATCTTGAAATAATTATAAAAATTCAAAACCACCAAAGTACAATGAATTTAATATGCATTGTAATTTGTGCTTCACCTTAGTAAATTGTGACTCATTAATTAGGTAGTTGAGGGATTCAATGTACAAGGGATCAATAAAAAGGGAAGGAAAGAAGATGATTGGTGAGGCATTCTTTTTTTTTTTTTAAACCTTATCAAATTTTTGTATTTCGAGCTATTAGCTGTTAGTATCTCTTGAAATAGAGAGAGTTCTCTTTGTCCTCCCATATCTCCTTTTCTCACCCTCTCCTCTCTTGTATTTTTGTTTCACGTCAACGTTCCACAATTTAAACTAACGACTGTCAACAGTCAACAAAAATTATTTGGATCAGGACAAAGGTAAGCAACATTTACATTAAAAGAGTTTAGATCTTTACATATTATCGATCATGTTTGAGTGTCAATTTCTAAAAGCACAAGCAATCAAACGGAAAGGCAAACCTGATTGGCACCAACCCAGGAATGATTGATAGCAGCTGCCCCTGCTAAAGCAGTTGCAAGAATAGTCAGAGCTTTCAGCAAATCAGTCTTTGGCTGGTAACTCGCTTCAAAATCCTGTGAGCTTACTTCATCAACAGAACATAATGGGTCACAATTTCCAGATCCATCTATCAACTCCTAACATGATACAAAGTTCGTCAATGATGAGTATATCCAGTAAAGTGCTTAACTAAACGAGACGACACACACAAAACAATGGAAAAGTATGCTTCGATAATAGCGATTGTCATTGTTTGCCAAGTAGGTGGAAACCAAATTAGTTTATGAACCATAGGATGACCAATTGCACCATCATAAGCTATCCATTTGATTTTGTTATTTAAAAAAAAAACAGTTTTCTTTGAATGAGAATGGCTTAAAAATACCTCTTCAATCAAATACTTATTAAGAGTAGTGCCACATGTGCATTTAGGTCACTGTAGAGTCCATGTAAGTTAAAGAAAACCTAACCCAGTAATTTGAATATCATGCCTTTAAAGCATGTAAATGAAATTGCTTAAATCCAAATTACTCATAATAAAAACACAAAAGCTTTATGTAGTAAATAACCCACCACTAACTTCGGATGTGATACTAATAAAGTCAACACAACTTTTCACAAACAAGGTGGCAGTCATCCCCGTGATTCCTCCCTCAAATACACTTCAGCCAAATAGCTAAGAGTGTCCATTGGAAATTTTCTAGATAAGTAGCAACAAAGGCAAAACAACATTTGCATCAAATTAAGTTCTACCACTTTTCGTAGCTCAAGCTGCCTATCATTTTCAAACAAGCCTCAAGTAGGCTATAATATCAATTTTATTTTTCATGTAAAAAGTGACAATTACAATTCCATATTCACAATTTAACACAGTAGAGAGAAAGAGACAGATTTCCAGTGATAAGAAGGTAAATCGACCACACATATAGATAGCTCTACTAGAGAAAATAGTGTTGAAGCCAAAAACGCAGGGGCAACAAGAAACATAAAACAAATCATGTTTTTAGAAAGATCTCACTAATCAATCTTAAGATTCTCTAGCAACCAATACAATCCAGGAATGACGTTCGAGAAAATGGACTAAGTCTTTCAAATCTATTTGCTCTTTTTAAAAGCAGTCTGATGAAGCAATAGTATGACTTTTTTTTTTTTATCCATAGATTGTCAAATTGATCCAAAAACTGTCCGTAAAATGTTATCTTTTGTAAAATTTAACTACACACGAAGAACCTCTGAATAAATAATGGATTTATTGAGTCTGTATTTGGATGAAAGCAAATTATAACCTCTTCTTCTGAAAATATTGAATGGCTTTTTGCTCCCCTTAAAGGATTGCTGAAGCGATCAACAGAATCATATCAAACAAAAAGCATGGAAATAGAAATTCTGAATCAGAAAAATATACCAAGTATGAAGAACTATATATGGCTCAGGTTACAATGTTTACTTTATTGTTACAATAAAATTAACACCAGCAAAACTTAAATTCCAAACAGATTGATTCAAAGCTAAAGAAGATTCTGATCCAAAGCAAAAGGATTTCAAGATATTTTCTGGTTTAAGAGAGGAAATCCCAGTGCACAAAGAACCAGGTTAATTTCAAGCTAAAAGGGCCAACTCTTTTCTCCCATATGCTGCCATCCGACCAGATTTAGAAAATAACATCACCTATCGTTCAACAGAAATACAACCACATCAAATGACATATCACTTACGATCTGGATTGCCTATCAAACACAAAGCAAAGGTTTCATATCTGTCATCCCTCCGTAGAAAGGAAGAGTACTATCACACCCTAAATTATTGCAGTTGCAAATTAAGCATCTAACCTGCAGTTATTATGAAGACGAAGCTTAAGATTAATAAACAAGGGGAAACAACGCAAAAAATTCAAAGTTGAAACATTTGTCTATGAATAACCGTTCTATGGAAGCAACCTAATTCTACTGTAAGTGTAGGATGACAAGAAGAAATTTACAGAATACCAGTAAAGAAAGAGAGAGAAACAGCTCACCATCACAAACAAGGATAATGGCGGAGAAAAAAGACAAGAAACCAAAGCACCGTACTTTCACCAGCATGTGGACCTTCAGAAGCTAACCTACCCTGTAATCTCCGCGGTCTTTTCCTGGCAGAAGAGGGGAACACGGGGAAGAGGAGGAGGAGGAGGAGGAGCCCTTGGCCTTATCCTCCGCCCTGGCAATGCCGCTGGCCCGGCGCCATCTCTGGGAGCCGAGCGACGAGCCGAGGAGCAACGGACGGCGTGGCAGGGCGGCGAAGACAGCCGCGGAAGAGGAGACGGCGGCGGCGGTGGAGTCGGAGGAGTTGAGGTTGCGGAGCTTGACGAGGGATTGGGTGAGGAGGCTCCCGTTCCCTATCAAGAAGGAAGAGGAGGCCATTTCTTGCAACCTATGGAGTGCGAGAGCAGAGTCGAACGGAGGATTAAGACCGAGACGATTCCGCCGCTTATTTTATATGCACCTGCTTGGCTAGTTGCATAATAATAATAATAATAATAACTATTATTATTATTATTATTATTATTATTATTATTATTATTATTAATGATGATGATGATGATGAAAAATTATTATTATCATTTAGTACATATAAAGATGAAATATGTCAAATTTGAACCTCCATCTAATAATTATATTATAGAAATTAAATCGACCGTTGATTCTCCTACATGATTCGCCTTTCTTCTGGCACAATATATAAAGTGAATCCAATCATTCGTGTTAATTATTGAAATTTACACCTCCTTATCATGTTAATCCGTATGAGACCAATTAACAATAAAAATAATAATAATAATAATATCATAGCATCTCAAGTATTAAGTCAAAATTAGATTGTCAGAAAATAAAATGATTCGACTACGAAAGAAACTATATTAATGGAGCGACGATATCATTTTTGCTTAAGTTAGTAAAGATTTGAAGAAATCGAAATTAATAAAGGGATATTATTTTAAGCCTAGTCAAAGATGCACAGACACAGCCCTTACAGTGAGTGCGTGGGGGCCACTATTGAATTAAAGTAGGAGTTTTTGTAAAATCATTGGTCATTGTTAGAAAGTTGTAAGGACGTGGAGTTGATATCACTATAGGAGTCTTGTTCATCTCATGCATCAAGTTAACCATATACACACACACAATGAGATGTGAACTTACATGTCTAAACTCCCTTATCATTAAGTATTTTAAATCAAGTACGTGAGTGAATCTTTTGTTCAATTATCTCATCCTTAATTAAATTAAGAATATTTAAATTTAATTATAGTTTTTAGTAAAATATTTGTTACTCTTTAATTATAGTTTTTAAATCAAGTACGTGTGTGAACCACTAGTCTGGTTTGAAATTATCATCCCAACCAAACAAAATTAAGCTAAATATTATATATATATATATATATATATATATATATATATATATATATATATATATATATATATTTTTTTTTTTTTTTTTTTTTTTTTTTTTTTTTTTTTTACAAACTACTGGTGGGGAAAAAGATTCTTCAAATCTCTGTTTTGCGTAAACGCCTTCACCTTGGATCGTTCTATGCAGCGGGCTTATAAGCAATAGAACTTGGACTCTCAACCTCCTCCATGTCTATCTACTAACAAAGCTATGCAAACATTATCCACCAGCTCATGAGATCTCAATCACCATTGATAACATCTTCATGTCACAGAAAACAGGAGAATAAATGCTGTTCTTATTAGTAATCCAATCGATTCGAGAACACACAGCCAACATTCACAAGTTGAATCAGATGAAGGCACCATATCAGAGAAACCTCAGCTGAACGAAGCTGAGCATCACTATCAAAAGAGAAAGAGCTGCGTTCACGGCGATCGCTGACTGTCCACTCCGTGGTGGCGAAGTCTGGGGTGCAGCGGTGACTGATGCCTTGTCAGAAAGATCTGCAACCGGCGGCAGTGGTGGATCTTGGATGTCGGCGACCGCAAGAACAGGCGCAGGGGCTTCGGCTGGAGGCAATGCTTCAGGCGAAACCAGTGAGAGGAGACTACCAGGCTCAACCGGTAAGATGGAGTAGGGCAATTTGGCATTCATGTTAGAGCATGGGCTCCCTACAAAAGATTCAATTTTAATCTCACATTGTTACACCTCAGGTACCAAAGAGTTAATTGCTAAGACAATGATGAAATTTCAAGATCGAGTATACTTTGACAACAGTGTCTTTAAAGACACAAACAAACATAATTTATCAACATAGTAATAGTAGATCATATGCACTGAAAAACCTTAGTCAAACCAAGGCTTTAAATGTTGATCTCATACCAGCTCTGAAAAATTATTAGATTGATAAAATACTGGCACGCTAAGCAGTATTCTGACCTGCACCAATTGGCATTGAAATTTAAATACTGACTGGTGAGGTCCAGTTTTGATCTTTGGTCGGACCCATAAATATTGATTAATATTGTATCACTCTGACCGGTATTAAAAACTAAGCAACAAACACAAAAGAATCACAGCAAAATTAGATGTTCTTATGGAGATCAATCCAATTTAGCGAAATCAGATTTTTAAAATAAGCTAAAACATGTATAAGTTTGATACTCACTCAAGTATGCGGCCAGAGTTGCTGGAAACTCGGTCACAACACCATCAACTTGAACACCTGCAACATAGGTAGCGAGCTCAACCATGGGGTCCGAGAAGTAATCAAATGCTATTGCCAAGAACTCGTTCCTCAGGACCGAAACATAAACAGATATGTTTGCTGCATGCATCTTATCAACCACGCCAGTGAAGGCAGAGACGAAGAAGCCTGAGTCAGCAACAATAGATGATCTAGGAAGGTTAACTGCATCTGCAGAGTGTTTGATCTCATCAACGGTTGGCTTTGGAGCATCACTTATTGTCTCCTTAACATAGAGTACTCGTTTGTAGCCAGAATTTTTCTTGAATGCAGAGAGGACTGCCGTATCATCAGACTGGATTAACACTTGCTTTTTTGGTAGTTTGTCGTAACTGGCATTTGTCAATGCGGTGGAGACTGCTTCTACGATCCCAAGACCTTTCTTTGAAACGAGGTAACCAGCATTCTGCATAATAAGTGGCATTGATTGCATAGGTGCCTTGAAAGGTGTAAATTTGTACACTGGATAATCAACTAACAGTGGTTTCACTTGATCCCTTGACATATGCAGGCATGTAAATATGTATATATGTGTGCCATGCACAAAGCACCATCCCTGTTTAAATCTTACAGATAAAAGTTTGATATTGATTGTCTCTTTAGGACAATGAACCATCTGATGCAAATGTTGAAGGAAAGTTATGCAATAGAAAACAAAAAGACAAGTGCTAGTCGTGTTCATCATCAGAACAGTTTGGGTTCATTTATTTACTTAGGATCTTGTGATAAACTGTTAAAGTTTTTACCAACTAGGCTAAGCTAGCACCCTACATAAACACTTCACTTTTTATGGTCTTGAACTTATTCACCAGATTCAGGCTTAAACATGAGCACATGCTAATGAAAATCCAAAAGAAAACAAATCTCAAGAAAATCTTGATGATAAATTAAATTCCAAGTTCAAGTATAAATGGAGCAAATTGGTGTCCTTTTCCAACTGAAAAAATGCTAATATCATGTTCAACAGATATGCTGCTGAGAAATTATTTATAGCTGATTCATGTATACCTCTATGTTGATCAAAACTCCAGCGACTGTGCTCTTTTTTGCAAACTCCAAGAAGTCGGTCAGTGTCATGAACTTGCCCTGATTTTTGGCTGCTGGATTTCTTGCCAAGCCAGACTGAGATAATGGGGTTGTCAACTCCGCTGGAAGACATAACAAAAACATGAGATCGATAAGCTATGTTATTACTACTCCATAGCAACAAAATCAGTCCACAGAGAACATAAGCAAATAACAAGTTTCAAAGGTTATACAGGTTTAGAGAATTAGTAAACTAGCATGGTATTAGAACATTACTGAAAAGAAAAAAGTTCGAGACACTTCCCAGATGAAAAAGAAATCGACACTACTAAGATCACTATTTTGGAAAGTTAAGCATGTTAGCATTTAGGATACTAAGAAAGATCTTCAACATAAGGGATGAATTAGTAGCTACTTCATCAAAGATTTGGTCACTGGTAAGTGCAAAAATAGTGCCAACTAGTGACTTGATTATATACATAAATCCTTTACACTTCAATGTCATCGGCAAACATAAAGTCAACAATGTAAATTCCTTACGCTTCAAGCTCTGAATCTCACTCCATGTGAGGTCAAATGAAAAGATTCCATTTTCTTTTTGTATCTCAGGCACTACTGTTGCTCGAGGCATAAACGTTTTTATTGCTGTTGTGTGACCCATAAGATCAGCTGAATCCAAACAGAAGACTACTCCATCCTTTGACATCTGCACTGAACAGTCAAGTATGTCAGCACCATCTTCTGCTGCTTGTTGATAGGCAAGATCAGTGCACCCCGCAAAGACCCCACTGGCACCATTGTGTGTTATAATTAGCGGTCTTCCTGCATCAAAATATGAAGAAGTATAAAGCAAGCATCCAAGCATCACTAGCAACCAAAAGCATTTAGAATTCTACAACAATGGACTAACATCAAAATAATTAAATTTACCTTCAGTGGGCAGTGTGTTGTTCTTGTTGTGTGCCAAACAAGCTGCATCAAACAAAAGGCATAAATAAATATAGATAGTAAACTTCAGAACAAAACAATTTAAAAGGTTTCATGATGTAAATATCATTATTCTGTTTAGTTGAAGAATTTTAGATATTCACATAATAACACTTCAGAAAAACAAAGTTATTTGTCATTGCAGCAAAGTAAGTTATCAACTAGTCAAGATTCTATTAGTTGAAAAAATAAAATTGATTTTCAAAAACTTAGTAGTAATTCTTTCTAAGTCTGTACTTATATTAAGACATTTAATTTGTTATTTCAGGTTCATTCCAGTATTATAACATAAATTTGACAGTGCTTTTCCTTTTTGCCTCCAATTATTTAAAATAAGCATTATTTATAAACAATAGAAACTGGATCTTAAACATACATAATGACCATATATAAGGAAAAATATTGTTTGTTAACTTTGTTTATACATAAACATTTAAATAATAAGTTCTATAGCTATAGTTTTGGGTAATGACATTAATTATTTAAAATATATTGGCAGATAAGAAATATATGCCTACCCACAGCTTCTGATGCTGTCGAAGGAAAATCCGTAAGCACACCATCAACAGAGAAATTTGAGTTGTCAATAAACTGCAGGTACTCTGCAGTCGGATCAAAGCTATAGTTGTAACTTGCAGGCATGTCATTTGCAAAATTGGATGCATAAACTTCTAGGCCCAGGTTGTGAGCATCTGTGACCAAAGAAGTATGGGGCTCTAGATATTGATCTTTGTTAACGGGCCAGATGTAGCTTTTGGGAACAAGAATCCCAGAAGCAAATGACTTGATAGTGGAAAGATCAGTTAGGAGAGCTTTATATGTTTGTTTAGCGGAAGGTTCCACATCATCCACTTCTAAGAATCGGAATATGAGCTTTGTCTTGCCACTTCTAAGCTTCCCACTCAGACTCTTCAGGAATGCTATTTCTGGAGAAGAGATATAGTCAATAACCATCTGTTCTGATGCTGTTGTAATGTAGGTTGCTACATCCTGTTTGTGTTCTTTAAAAAAGATGCTGTACTGCAAAAAATTTAAAAGAAAGTATTAAGTCAATAGCAGTATCAAATTTTTGGATAATTATCAAATATCATCTTGCTAGAAACAGACATGGGACACTTTAATGTGAACTTCTAAGAAGGAAACAGGTTTACAAGCCTCATGGACTTATCAAATTAGCAGCTACTTTCTTATGCATATAGTCTAAGCTTGAAGGTTTCAGACAGAGAACCATCTAGGTTATTAATTGAGGGCAAGGTAGGTGTTAACTTATATCCACATTAACTAGGACTTTGATCCTTACCTGCACATTTATCCAAAACTGATAAGGGTGAAGCCCAGTGACATCTTCCACCATGGATATTGGTAAACTCCCATCAAAGACACTTGGTCGAGTAAAAATATTTTGAATCACTTCAAAACAAAAAAAGTGAAGAAAGAAGAAATTAGATAATTCAGATATCCTAAGAAGGTCAAGGAACTAGTCAT